ATTTATCGTTAGTAATACCGGCATAGGGAATCTTTAGTTGTAACTAGCCTAGGGACTAGTAACGCGACCAATCCAAACAAACAAGCGCATAACTATAAGTTCCTAGTCGTCGCCATCTCTTACAACTCTAACGGTATGAACGATAAATGCGAAATATAATCAATGTGCAAATCTATTAATCAATGTGTAATCCTATAATCAATATGTTTGAAATTGAATAATCTTATTTATGGAATAGTTAAAATGATGAATCGTCTGAATAAATATTCTAATCAAACAATGGTGGATGAATTAAAAAATTAATAGATTCTAATGATCGACTATTTATCATAAAAATATTCCATAAAATCTTTTCTTTAATTTATAAAACAACGATGCGCCTCAATTGTAATTATATTTATGGAACCTTACTATCTTCTCATTATTATCAATATTGAAACTACTCGGATTCTTGCAACTTAGTTAGTGTCAGAGATGTTATTCACCTTTTAATATATTCACATAAATAAGGATTCCATGAATATAACAACATTTCACCGTAACTATATAAGAATATACCACGTTATGAAATCATAACTATATAATTTAGCAATCGTAACTTCATTTTATTATATTAAAATTGCAATAACTAGAATATAGCAGAGATTATATAGAGAACGATTTCAGAAACGTATAGAAGCGAGCAAGCGAACAATAGAACCCTAACGTGCGGCTACCGTTTGAACTTTCTTTGTCGCCCGAACCGCCCCCGATCTTGATACGATAAGCAACCCCGAGTCTTTCGGGATGCTAACACCTGTACGTCACGAACCTCGAGAATCAACAAATCATAGACTTTTACGACTTATTCTCTCTTAGATTTTCTCGTCGCTTATGGACCATATATGGTCATGATAAATTTCTTGACCATATTTGGTCATAAGAAGAGCTCACTCGTGCTTCTCAGGACCCCCGAACTACTCTCTTTTATAAGAGGATTTATTATGAGATCTTCCTAGAAAAGCGTTTTCGTGGGAATCCTCCCACCCAAAAATTGCACACGACACCAAAAATTTTTTTGTTCGAAGGGTATATAAATCCTAGAAAATCTGGCCGGACGACGGCATTTCATCAGAAAAGTTACATCCTAAATTGTTGCTAGCCGAGAAGCGCAGCTACAATTTTGTA